AATTCTTTGGCAGTGAGAATAGCAACCTCAGGCTTGCTACATTGCTAAAGGTACCCAACGAAGGCAACGTTCTGAGCTAGACCGTCCAGCCAGATATGCAAAGTTCAAGATCAACCTTCAAAAAACAACTGCGTTTTGCTTTCCTTTACTTATTAGTCAACCTCTTCAAGGCAACACAGTAGCGAAGGACACAAGTGTTCAGAAGGCCATTTCCAAGCAAGAAAATGCGCAGAGGTTCACTGGACGCTAAGTTTTTTTTGTAAGAACAATTTCTAAAACTATAAAAAAAACTATGAGGCACATTGGATCACAGCAGTGATTATTTAACCATCATAGTCAATGGGAATCTTATCCAAAGCAATGATATAGCGTTGACGCTTTAAATGTGCTGTTATATATGATAAGAATAACATGAATAAATGAAAGTCAAAGAATGAGTGATATGATCTTTTTCACTATGTTATATTCGCTTCCTTTCTTATCCCTGTTGCGTTTGGTCGCTACTACTGAAGGTATAGTGAGCTGCAAAAGTAGTTTCTAAGAAATTCACAAAGTTTAAGGATTTTGACGTGGTGTTCATGTAATGATTTTTCAAGGCCAAACTCACATAGGTTCTGCAAAACAGGATCTCTCATTGCCTCTGGTGACCGACATCTCTTTGGAGGACAACTTGGATCATTTGACCCCTTCTTTGCTGGTATTTTTGTCTATAAAAATTTGCATATTTAGGTTATAGGGTATTGCACACGCAAAGAACCCGCTATGATATCCTTACTTTGTGGAAGTTACCCGCGTACAAAACGTCTTTGTTATTAGGGTAGAAGAATGAACAGGTGCAAGATCCAATTCCAGTGCTTAATCTGTGCAAAGTTTGGTTAGGAGAGTCGTTTAGGTCCAACCGGTAAATCTGAAGCCGAATTCTTTTTTTGGTTTGTTTACGAAGCTAATTGTTGTTACCTGGTCACAGTCCACACCATAGCCAGTAGCCTGAAGTGTTAAGAAGTTGTCATCAAAGCTGAAAACAAACATTTTGATGACTTTTATGGTAATTTGTGGTATAAAAAAGACAATAAAGCTAGGAGGAGCATGTTACCTAAAGTATGCCTCAGCGTGAGTTCCATGAAAGGTCAACTGTCGCACATTTGCAAAATATTTTTCTCCAGGAAAATGTATTTGAGCGAAAACTATTGATGTTAAGCACAAGGCAATCAACCCAGTTTTCATCTGCAAGAAAATAATTAGGGCGAAAAAGCAGAAAAGTGTGCAGTGAGCCGATGCTTAGCGGAATTTCTCGTAACCAAGCTTCAATTTTCGAGGGATCCAAAAGATAAGAGGATTATCGCGTCCAGCTGTATCAGAAAGCAACCTTATCGCCTGTTTGGTCAGATTACGCATCTTGTAGCATATGATTCCTCACCAACCTCGGAAAAGGTTATCATGCAACTGTTTTGGAACGTAAGAAATGTCTTACTTCCCGGTTTTTGCATCAATAGCAAAAGGTATCAATCGTGGAGAAAAAAATGTTAAAACAAGCAGAGGTAAATCTATGTTACTTTAAAAAACTATTTTTCGCGAAAATATCAGTGCAATTTTTATAGATTAATCATACCTCCTAATTCCACTCCTTTAATGATACAATAAATGCTTCGTATTCTAAAAATTGACAAAAATTAAGAACTCGGCAGCTTTTCTCCAAACCTTAAAAGAAAGTATTCGATTTCGAGTAAAAGCAGTATAGAGTGAACTCTCAAAAAAAATAAAAGCATAATGTTGCTGTGCACTTGGCAAGGACAAAGTTGTTTGATGGTTTCATTTAAGAGGAAAAACAGATTATGACATTTTGGTAAAAGATGAAATAAACAGAAAAGTTAAAAAAGCTGAAAATCTCGGCATCACCTTGGCTCATGAGAAATTCAGTACATTAATAGATGATTCACATGTTGTGTGCGGGGTACACATGAACCTGATACAAGTGTAAAGTTGGCCCTTATCTACTTCGAAAAAAATGCGATGTGTCCGAATCCCAAAGTTTGCGTCGTGCCTTACACTTTTAAAACGATTGAAGAATTTCACATTTAATGTCAATGCCACGATGGATACATAATCAAAGGAGTTTTAACTTTATTAGTCTTAGTACTAAGAAATTCAAATAACTAATGCCCTTACTCCTCAGTCGATATTTTTTAAAGAATATGACTTCAAAAAAGCGCATATTGTCATCTATTGGCGTAATAGATGACATCTTATTTGGACTATCAATATTTGGACTATTATTCACTGAGGTGAGCAAAGTTGAAGCAGCGTTGCATTTGTATTTATTTTAATGGCATTGTGTTTGATCGCAAGATCACAAAAGACACCCCACATTTAAGACCATGGGACAATATATTAGAAAGAGTGAGATGAGATGAGATGCACGCTTCGAAGCAAAAACTGTTTTACTGCATGTTACTTCACTCTAGAACTCAAAGGCTCGACAGATTGATTCCCTTGTTTCGTAGAATCCATAAAGCCATTCTCCACATCTTTTACAATGATAAGCAGTGATGTAAAAGACTTCTTTTCTCTTGCAGCAATCACTCAATTATTTCTTTTATTTATCTAAAAAA